CCCTTGTAACACAGCAATGCAGCAAGTTCTGGACCAAGAAGGTGAGCCTTCAACCTCTGAAAAACAGGTCCGGGGTGATTGAATGGATGGTGGAGGTGGTAGGCTATGAGGTGTAGTGTAAATGGCCAAGAAAATTAGGGTTTGGAGCTTGAAGAAGAGAGCTATGGAGGGTGGGGTGTATCTATCTTAGCCAAATGTTTCTAACCGTTGCAAATGGAGAGGGGAGGTTTGTTTTATAGAGGAAGAGAGCCAAGGCTTCTTGGAGAAGCCTCAAGAAAGGGTCAAAGCTTCTCAAAGAAGCTTAACCAAAAGGGTCAAGCTTCTTGAAGAAGCTAGACCAAAGGGGTCAAGCTTCCACAAGAAGCTTGACAAAAGGGTCAAGCTTCTCCTTGAAGCTAAGCAAAAGGATCAAATCTTCCTCAAGAAGACAAACAAAAGGCTCAAAATCCCGGAGGAAGGGTCAAGTGCTTCACAGCTGGCACAGCTGTGTTGCACTCAGGAAGGCCAAAAAGCAGAAGGCTAGCCGACCAACCAAGGTGGTCGGTCGACCACTCAAGGTGAAATGTTGGTCGGCCATACCAGAAAGGTGGCCTCCCAGATAAGTAGAATACAACTGTATGGTGGGAGACCAGAAACTGTGGCCCAGGGGAGAGGAAAATCAGCTTTCTAGCAAGGTTCAAAAGGGTCAGGAAGAAAAGCTGGTCGGCCTACCCATATTGGTGGCCTCCCAGATGAGTACAACACAATGGTGGTATGGGAGACCAGAAATTATGGCCCAAAAGTGAGGAAAACCAGCTTTCTGTCAAGAAAATCGGCTGGAGGAGAGAGAAAATGATTTCCAAAAGAATTGCTGGTCTCTCACTATAGTACCACCTCCCAAACAATGAAAATAGGATCCATACCAAAAATGAACCCTAACCGATGCAGAACGAGGGTTCGAGGGCCAAAACACGCGGCCGGGGCCCCAAAAATAGGCTGTTTGGTACCGAAAGTGGCGTGCGACCACGAAGGTGGTCTCTCGGGCCACAATGTCCCTCAAAAGAGAGGAAACAAGGTGTGTGCCAAAACCCGGAGCAAACGGAGGTAGTTAAGCAGTCCTGAACCGAGGCACACGGCTAACGGCTCTAAAAATCGGAAACTGGTCTCCAAACGGAAAAAATGGCCTATGACCATGAAACGTAGCCTATGGCCACTGAGAGATGGTCTACGAGACCTCTCCCTCCCTTTGGGAAGAGAAAACAGAGAAAATAGGACCTGGTTCGCAAACCGAGACAAAGCACAAAAGAGCCCCGAAGTCTAGAGGCAAGGCTCGCAGCCAAGACTCCGAAACCTCAGAACGAGCACAATATACATCATCACCAAGCGCTCAATCGGTGACATCTGAGTCTTAAGGTCGGTCAAAAATGAAGTGTCTACAGTTGCCCCTCTTTGACAGAACTCGGAAGTCATAAATGACGGGAGTGAATGTCAAAGCCCAAAGACGACTCATTTTTGACAAGGCCGAAGACTTAGACAAACAGGCGAGATAAACAAAGACGTGCCCGCAGGCATGCCCGCAAGCAGGGGCAAAATGCCGAATGATATGCACCAAGCTGAACGTAACTCATGACCATGCAAAGCAGCGAGCTGTAATGAAGCAAATATTCACAATAAATGCAACAGTTTTAAGCAAGAATGCAAAGCAAAACTACATTTCATGCAGTTAGAATATGGAGAATTATTTAATCCTCGCCGCGTCTCACACGAAGAAGATACAATACCTGTGCGGCTCGTCTGGTCGCACCAGCTTCAAATGAGCCGTACATACAATATCGTGCCTGCAAAAGAGAGAAACTTAACAAGCACAACATAGTTAGCAACACATGTTCAACACTACATCGAATGCAGACAAACATGGTGTCGATAGGAGAGTGCATCGCAATGCAAGGAGAAATGCACGCGACAACGCAAGTTAAGCATGGAGGTATGACAATACCGGTGAAACGTGCACAATAATGTAAGTGATGTGCATGAGAATGCAAGTGACGTGCATAACAATGCAGGATAAGTACAACTTTGAATGCACATTTTGACACAAAACAACGGGCAAAGAAATGCAAGTTTCGACGAGGGCGACTCAATCGTGGCCTCCGGTTTACCTCCCGGAAGGGTCATAACGTACTCAAAAAGGATACATCTTGCTTTTGACGAGTAATAATGAAATACGCATCGAAAGTTGGAGTTAAAGTTCCCGCGGAGGGATTTCGCGACGAAAAGTGCACTTTTCTTATACTTTCTCGAGTGCCGAGGACTCCGATCACTACCAAAATTTACAGGGAGCTCAAAGAGGCATTGGGGACCCCCTTGGGAACACCACCGACCAGGTTTGGAGGCCACCGACCAGGTTTGGTGCAGGGGGTGGTCGGCCTACCAGAAAAGGTGGTCGGCCGACCACCTAGCCCAAAACAGGGGCAGTTTTGTCCTTTTGCTCTTGTTTCTTTAAATACATTCGGCCAAACACCTTTTGTTCACAACTTCAGGTCCGAAATCATCTTCTCCTCCTCCCTAGACCATTTTTCCTCTCAGATTTGCGCTCTATACGCGTTTTCCAACACCCCATGCAAAGTTGTTTCGCGAAATCTTTCAGTTTTCTTCACTTTAAACTGATTAAATTTTGATTTCGGTGCTTCTTTCTCCATTTTCACCACTTGGGGTAAGTTTGTCTCAATATTTGGAACATTTTCTCGGGAGTTGACTTTTTCCTTTCCCGACAGTTGACTTTTGTTGACTTTTTCTAATTTTGGCTCATTTTGCTCATTTTTGCAGATTTCTTGAGATGACGGGTCATTTGCCTTATGGAGGAGGTCCTCCAGGTGCAGGGGGTGAGCCAGATATCATGTCTTTGCCTCCAAGGGTTCGGCCATTCGATCCCGAGAGGTATCACCCTCGGAAGCATATCCTTTCTCGGGCCGTCTTCTACCATTTTACCGATTTTGATGATCGAGCACCTGTGGATCTCCTATTGAGGGAGCCGGAGTCCCACCTCTCTCATCAGGCACGGGAGGCATGTACTTTAATTTTACATTTTTCGCAGTGTATTATGCATTTTCTGTGCATTTCATGCTTTCGCTATGTTTATCTGCTCATTCTAGCACACAGCTTGTTCTGAACACATAGTCTATCACCCAGTATTCCGTTTGCATCTTGAACACACAGCTCAATCACTTGAATTTCTGAACACATAGCCCACATATTGATTGTGAACACACAGCACATACTCGTTGAGAGTTGAACACGCAGCCCAAACTGTCGAATTTCTGAACATGCAGCCCATTGTTGATTGTGAACACGCAGCACACACTTGTTAAGAGTTGAACACACAGCCCAAACCGTGAATTTCTGAACACGCAGCCCATTGTTGATTGTGAACACACAGCACACACTTGTTGAGAGTTGAACACACAACCCAAACTTTGAATTTCTGAACACACAGCCCATTGTTGAATGTGAACACACAGCACACACTTATTGAGAGTTGAACACACAGCCCAAACTTCGAATTTCTGAACACATAGCCCATTGTTGATTGTGAACACATAGCACACACTTGATGTTGAACACACAGCTCGAACTTTGAGATGAACACACAGCCCATTGTTGATTGTGAACACACAGCACACACTTGTTGAGAGTTGAATACACAGCCCAAACTTCGAATTTCTGAACACACAGCCCATTGTTGATTGTGAACACACAGCACACACTTGATGTTGAACACACAACTCGAACTTTGAGATGAACACACAGCCCACTATTTCTGAAGTCTGAACACGCAGCCTGAAACACTTGATGTTAAACACACAGCTCGAACTTTGAGATGAACACACAGCCCACTGATTTTGAAATCTGAACACACAGCTCACACACTTGATGTTGAACACATAGCTCGAACTTTGAGATGAACACACAGCCCACTGATTTTGAAATCTGAACACACAGCTCACACACTTGACGTTGAACACACAGCTTGAACTTTGAGATGAACACACAGCTCACTGAGTTTACGTTGAACACACAGCTCGAACTTTGAGATGAACACACAGCCCACTGATTTTGAAATCTGAACACACAGCTCACTGATTTTAAATGAACAGACAGCCCACACTTGTTGAAAGTTGAACACGCAGCCCAAACTCTGAGTTCTTGAACACACAGCCCAAACTTGAGGTGAACACATAGCACACACTTGTGTTTGCACGTAGCTTATACACTTCCATTCTGAACACACAGTTCATGTACTTTATGTTGAACACACAGCTCACAGCATTGTATCTGATTTGGTTTGCACACAGCTCATACATTTCATTTGCACGTAGCTTATTCATTTCATTCTGAAGCTGAATACATGTGTTGATTATGAATGTAGGTGTCTTCCCGGGTTACACGAGGATATGGCTCCATCGTTGCGAGGGAGTGGTACACAGAGCTCCCGGAGGCCGTTCGTGATTGGGTTGATCAGGCAGGGTTCGGACCCTTTTGCGCGGGGATATCTCGCTATCCTGCTAGCAGGACGTTGATGGGCAGCCTTGTAGAGAGATGGTGGGACACCACCAACTCCTTTCATTTCTCCGCTACCGGGGACATGACTATGACCCCGTTCGACTTCCCTGTGCTAACAGGCCTTGACGTGGGAGGCTGGTCGATCCCTTATGACGAGGACATGGGCGAGTGGGAGGCTGCTTGGATTTATCTGTTGGGAGCTCGCCCACCGGCTGACAGATCATCGAGTAGGGTCCGGTACACTTGGTTTTCCACACATTTCAGGGGGATCGAGCCCGAGACTCCCGAGGAGATAACGCAGTACACTCGAGGGTTCTTGATGTTCCTCCTCGGGACCACTCTGTTCTCCGATAGGGGGAACACCGTCGGACTCTATCTGCTGAGTGCTCTGGTGGACCTATCACAGGTCAGTCGGTATGACTGGGGTGGTACCGGCTTGGCTACCCTCTATTGCTACATGAGTGCGACCTCCCGCGGATGGGGGAACATAGTCGACTGTTATTGGAGAGCCTGGGAGGTACTTTCTGCCCTCTTGATTTACATTTCTGTTTTTCGTTATCTGTACACTGCACACATGGCACACTTTACATTCTGTACTTTGCATTCCAATCTCAGCATTTTGCATTCTCTGTACATTCTGCATTCACATTCTGCACTCAGCATTCTGTATTCTAATGGCTATTGCCCTGTTTTCCACAGCTATGGGTTTTCGCGTACTTTTCGACGCTGGCCCCGGAGCTCGAGGTGGCGGTGCCTCTCACGATCCCTTACTCGCTTGTATTCGAGGGCCAGTACCGGCTGAGGGCCCGGGAGACTTTGCCCTACCTGCGGTAGTATTTTGACACAGTGCAGCTGACAGAGGTAATTCAGAACTCTCAGTTCTCCATGTTTTCATCTTTAATTCATCTTGCACATTTACGATTTCTAATCGGCTTATGCATTGGTTATCCGCAGATCACATGGCAGCCCTAGTCTCCCTTGGGTGGAAATAGCCGATTTCAGCTTGCTGGAGGGTGGGTCGCTTCCCGGTACAGGATCTTATTTGAGGGGCCCGTTGGCAGGGCCTGGTTTCTGGGGGATCACTTCATGCATCAGACTATGGGCTACCCCGAGCAGAGTGTCCCTGCAGCACCTCCGGTCAATATACGGTCTACTGAGGGGCTCACTCCCCAAGATGTTGAGTCGGCTATGCTGGGTACTGATGTACTTATGCATTTAGAGGAGGGGGAGTATGCGACGTACCGTCATACATACTTGATGCCTCCATTGACAGGTGTCCGTACTCCCATGAGGAGGTCTGCTAGCATGCCATCATCGAGTCGAGCTCGGGCTGCAGATGTCCCTTCTACCAGTAGGGCCGGTACATCTAGAGGTGGGGCTGGACGGGTTCCACCGATTCCCCTGACGTATCATCAGGTCGAATGGCTAGATATCCCGACTAAGTTGACAGGATGGCGATACGGGACTTCCTACCCGATTCCGATAGAGCCTCCTATGCCTGATCATCGATACGTCAGTGATCCTGACTCACCACCGGTATGTTCCACTACTTTTCGTTTACCACTCAGGTACTTAGGCATTTATTTACTCATTGATGACTTGAGCTTATATCTGCAGCCTACCAGGGAGTATACGGAGGGGTTACTCAGGTTAGTAGCCTCACTTGAGGGCATGGTCCTGCGGAGAGAGACGCAGTTGTCCATCGTCGGTGTCCTGGTACTCTTTAGTTTCCTTGCATTTATCATACTTCTGATGACATGCTGAACTTGAATATTTCATTGCATTGATTGACTGTATGTGTAGAGCACATCTGACACACACCACATTTATGTACTGTATCTGCATACACCCACCCTTCGTAGTTTTCTTACATCTGCATCTGATATACATACTTTGGCTGATGTATTCAAATTGCGCTCTTTCTTTTCAGATGCCTCCGCTACATACTGGGCCACAGGCTGGGCCATCCAAGCCTCCTCGGAGAGCTGGGAGAGGGGGTTCGACTCGCGGCCGAGGCAGATGCAAGGCACCTGTCGTAGAGGAGGAGTCCAGCGAGGAGGAGGAGCCTGCTCATCCCCAGTCAGAGACATTTGCTGGCAGAGAGGATGACTCTGGTTCCGGTTCTGGTAGTGGAGATGATGCCAATGAGGATTCTAAGGGCAGCGACTCCGATTTCGATGATGATGATGGTGCAGAGGTTGTTCCGCAGAAGAGGACGAAGAGGGCCTCTTATTCCTGTTCTTGATAGCATTGATGCAGCTGTTCCCTGCTTTATTTGCCTTTTTTACTAGTAGTTGTAGCACATTGTACATTATCAGGCAGTTTTATTTTCTGTAAAACTTGTACCCTTGTTGTAAAATATTATAACAAAGGAAGCATGATAGAATGAAACAGCCTTTTGAAAAAGTGTTGCATTTTATGTTCTTAGCATTGCATCGCATTATTTTGCACGAAAATGAGATTGAATGGAATTGTGCACTGAAAATTGCCAAGTCAGGTAGTGAACCGACACAACAAACTAAACAATCGACTTACTAAGAAATAACACAACCTTAGCAAGTTTACAACTCGATAAACAAATCCCGGAAATGTTGATAAACAAAGAACAACAATTTCGACGGACAAAACTCGACAACTCGATAAAAACTTAACAACTCGATAAACTTAACAACTCGACTTGATAAGCAAAACTCAACAACAACTCAATAAACAAAACTCAACAACAACTCGATAATCAAAACTCAATAACAACTTGATAAACAAGCGTATCTCGGACGATCGGGGTGACGGAACCCATCCGAAACAGAGGAAAACTCACACCTTCAACACTCCAATGCATGGAAATGCTAGGAACTTTCTTCCAAAGGCTAGGATATGACCAAAGCCCCACTTCTCTTCATGGCTGACCATCATAGGGAGCTGGCCGACCAGCTTTTTTCATCAGAGACCAAAGGGGTCGTCGGCCTACCAGAAAAGGTGGTCGGCCAGACCACCTGGCTTGGCAACCACCAAATTGTTGACACGTGTCCCCCGAACAGTGCCTTATCCTCTTTAAAAGTCTTAGCTTCGTGGTTTATTCATTTCATCTCCGTGTTGCACCAAAATGGAGGCGTTCCTTGTCCAAAATCTCACAGCTTGGGTTGCTTCTCTAGATGGCTTGAACTTCCGGGGCTTCGGCTTCAATGCACTATTCACGCTGGGCCATACTCCGCTGCATTTTCCTTTCCTCCATGCCGCGACAAGGTTTTGGAACCCGGTAACACATGTCTTTAGCTTCGGCGGGCAAGAGATGTGTCCGACCTTCGAAGATTTTCAAGATTTGATGGAATCCGAGCGCAATGAGGAAATCTTGCCTCAACTCCGATTTGGCCACATCCAAGCCCTAGGACGAATGTGCGGCCTCACTTTGCATGACGCTCGATCATTGGTTCACGACGGGGGGCTGGACATCCCAAGCTTGGTTCGCTGGTTTTCTGATGCTGGTGACCGCGGTGACCATCATTGGCAGGGCTATCGGCGATATGCGCTCTGCCTATGCTTGCTATCTCATTTATTGCTTGCCCTGGGCTCTGGTGGATTCAGTGTCCGGTTGATCGAGGTTTCCTAAGGTTTGAAGGAGGGCAAGAGCTGCATCGCCATGACATTGGCTGAAACATTGATGGGCTTAGACGCTTTTCATCGCCGGGAGGCGGCTAGGCTTGCGGGGAGCCCACTACTATTGCAGGTAATGTTTCCCACCCAATCTCACATATATATAGCTCACATCACTCGGCCCTCAGGCTCAATTTTTCTCACAAAACCCTTTTCTTTGTTTTCTCTCATCGTACCTCTCTCTATTCTTTATTCTCTCATTTTTCATCCCTCCCCAGGTGTGGTTAATGGACAAGTTACAGATTGTGGAGCCTTGCCCAGCATACTCAGCTCGCGGCTACTTTTTTCGACAACGCCTGGTCGATGCCCTGGATGAGGGGTGATGGTACAACTGGATGTGCAATTTGTCTGCAAACTGCATCGCTTGGCACTACCCTTGGCTCAATCTGCCAGCAATGAGTTACAACATGACCCGTCAACCTGGGATTCAATTGATTGGCATGACACACTATGTCTTCTACTTTCTGTTCCGGTTCCAACGCCAGTTCGGGCATGATCAGACTTGCCCGCCAGAGGGGATAGAGTACCCTGCTGCATTCCCAGTCCGAGGCGCACAGCTTGCCCGGTATGCCATAGCATGGAGGACTAGAGAACTCTTGGCCCCCGCTCCCACTTTCAGTTGCACTTTGTCCGATGAGTGCTTGGATTAGCTCAATGAAGAGGCACAGGAAGGGCCCACTTTGGCATCAGAGGCTTCGACCAGCTCTGAGAGGGGGCGCAGGGACACCTGACTTATCTATGCCCTGGATTTATTGCTTTATTAGTATTTTCAAGTTTTCTTTATGAATGTAATAAAAAGCAACTTCAATTTGTATGCAAGAGCAGGAGAACTCTGTATTAAAATCAATGAAATTGAAGGTTGTGGGTACTGAAAATTTTCCGCTTTGGTCCAAAAATGGTTTAAGTTGTAAAAAGATTAATTCTGAATGAAGTCCACTTTTGTTAAAACTTTTCAAAACCATTTTCGATATGGATCAAAACTGGACACGCCTGAAATCTGCCACTGAGACGCACAACCTCGGATCCTAGCAACTGAAAATTGCCCCTAGTCTAAATAGTACTGCGACACTGCACAGCAACGGAAAGTTGCCCCTAGTCTGAAAAGCACTACACCGGGGATCATACCCGAACTCTCGAATGCTGAATAGACAAAGATGGCCGAGATGATCAAATGGACAAAGTTGATCGGGGAAAAGTTTATGGCTGAACTTCAGGATGAAGTTGCCTACGTATCCCAAAGATGGGAATCAAGCCTTACGTAGTTCAAGCTCGGGTTCACTCGAGTATTTTCACTCTCCTTTTACGCCCTAACTTTTGCCAAGGCCGCCCTTTGCAGGTTTTCAACCTTGCGAGCTCAGTTTTTATAATTTCAAATTTTTTGTGCTCTGACTTTTTCCTAGGTCGCCCTCTCAGGTTTTCGGCCTAGCGAGCCTCTCAGGGGTAATATTTCTTCAACTTGTCCATGTTGATCGGCTGTGAGAACTCTAGGCCATCTAGGTCCATCAGAACCACAGTTCCACTTGACCAGATAGACTTGATGATGTAAGGGCCAGTCCAATTGGGTCTGAACTTGCCCCTAGGGTCGTGGATGGGAGCTCGGTTGTCATTGAGCACCAAATCTCTTTCTTTCAAATTCCTAGACTTAACTTTCTTGTTGAAAGCCCTGGCAATTCTGCGTTGATAACCTTGAACATGGTACAGTGCTTTCAGTCTTCTCTTATCAAAGAGCATGAGTTCTTCAAATCTGCTCTATTGCCAATCTGCTTCGGCTATTTGACACTCAGCCAACACTCGTAAAGACAAAACCTCAATCTCGATAGGTAGAACGGCCTCCATCCCATAAACTAATGAATACAGAGTCGCCCCAGTAGAAGTTTGAGTTGACGTCTGGTAACCCCACAAAGCAAATGGCAGCTTATCTGGCCAATCCTGGTAGGTTTCCACCATCTTCTGCAGTATGTGTTTGATATTCTTGTTGGCGGCCTCAACCGCTCCATTGGTTTGCGGCCGGTATGTGGATGACTTATGAAAAGCCACGTTGTATTTCTCCAACAAGTCAATCACTTCCTTCTTGAAGTGGGAACCATTATCTGAAATGACATCATTTGGGACCCCATAACGATAGGTGATGTTGTTTCTGATAAACTTTGCAACGTGTGGCACCTTCAACACCGCATAAGATTGGGCCTCAACCCACTTCGTGAAATAATCTATCACGACTAGGATGAACTCATGCCCATTCGACCCCTTCGGAGTGACAGCCCCAATCACATCGATTCCCCAAACTGAAAATGGCCATGGCGTAGTCATATTGTATAGCTTCGACGGCGGAATGTTCATGCGGTTTGCATGGATCTGACACTTGTGGCATCGCTGAACAAAGCCGATACAATCCTTCTCCATGGTGGACCAATAATAACCTTGTCTGAGGATCTTCCACACTAGCATTACCCTGTTTATATGCGCACCGCATTCACCTCCATGGATGGCCTCCATTAGGCGTTTTGATTCTTCAGCTTCAACGCACAGCTTATGACTTCCCAGATGACCTCTCTTATACAATTTACCTCCGTAGATGATGAACTGAACGGCCATTCTTCTGATTGCCCTTTTATCTTTGGCATTTACCCCTGGTGCATATGCTTCCTTCTCCAAGAAATTCCAAATATCGTAATACCAGAGGTTCTCATCTTGAACCTCATCTATAGCAGCAATCGACTCGTAAGCCGGCACAAATTTCTGGTCAATACTGACTGGACACATCCGGACTCCAAACGGGATGTCTATCATGGAAGATAGAGTTGCTAGTGAATCTGCGAACCTGTTGTTTTCTCTTAGTAGATGAGTGAAGTTTAGCTTCTCAAACCGAGGAATCAACAGATCCAAGGTCTGGTGGTACATTACTATCTTTTCCTCTTTGACTTTCCAGTCTCCTTTTACTTGAGACACAATAAGGTTCGAGTCCCCGATGACGTCCAACCATTTTGCCTCTAGTTCTAGGACTGCTTCTAGACCAGCAATGCATGCCTCATATTCTGCTTCGTTGTTCAGGACTTTGAATCGGAGTTTGAATGCTAGAGGGATACGGGAATTGTCGGGTGCTATCAGTAACACCCCTATCCCATACCCGTAATGGTTTGACGCTCCGTCAAAGTACATCGTCCAAGTTTCGTCTTCGATATGAAAAATGGCCTCATCTGGGAATAAGTACTCAACTGCTTCACCTCTTTCCACTAGATGATCGGCTAAGAATTCTGCTACTGCTCTTCCCTTGACTGACTTGCGCGTCACATATTTCAGATCGAATTCGGAAAGCAACAGCAACCAACGAGCTAGCCTACCCATAAGTGCCGGTTTCTCGAAGAGATATTTGATGGGATCTTGACGTGAAACCAACATTACGGAGTAAGCTAACAGGTAGTGCAACAGCTTCCTGGTAGCCCATACCGAAGCTAAGCAAGCCTTTTCCAACGGTGTGTAGCGAGTCTCATACTCTAGCATCTTCTTGCTCAGATAGTAGATGGCTCTCTCCACTTTGTCCTCTGATTCTTGCGCGAGCATGCAGCCCATTGTAGTCTCAGTTACTGAAAGATACAAAATCAATGGCTTTCCCGGCTCAGGTGGTGACAGCACAGGTGGGT